ACTACTTTATTTACACTATATTATGTTTTTTTTTTCATTTTTCCCCAGTTTATTTATTTGCTTATTATCTTAAAAAGAAATGTAATCTTGTATAGTATATCTCTGTGATATTAAAATCACTATAATCTATTAAACTTAGTACTACTTTACTTACCTACTGTGAGTTTTGGCAGGAGCTTGACCATCGACGGATGGTTGCTCCTGTTTTATCGTTTAAATAATCGTTTGAAGTGGATTTTTATCAAAGTGATGCGATTATGTGTATTAAGTGTCTGCGCATGTGAGCTATTGAGAAAACGACGAATTAAGTGCTTCGATGTTGGTACAAGTTATTTTAATCGCTTAGGCGTCTTAGGATTTACTTCCGAGCTATCAGAAATAGCTGTTAAATATTTGATTTCTTCAGCTGCATCTGTAGCATCTCAACGAATTACTTCTACAATCAATCTTTTAGTGTCCAATAATCACAGTATTGAAACAGCTGAACATATAAAACAACGAGTATTTTTGAAAACTCTTACTGAAAAATATTGGTAAACATAATTGTCTTATTTAAATTAAACAATAATTAAAGTTAAAGTTACAGCCTTATACGTCCCAATGCTGGGCACTCATCAGCTGGGCGGGCCTCTCCTAATTTCTGAGAGGGTTTTAGGGCAACGTCCACCGCGCTGCCCAATGCGTGTTGGCGAACTTCACATTTTTTGAAATTTTTATTTTATTTCTCAGACATGCAGGTTTCCTCACGAAGTTTTCCTTCATCGTCGAGCACGTGGTAAATCAGCACTTAAAATTGCAATTAACAATTTCATTGGTGCCGGCGGGGATCGAACCCGGGTTGCTCGCGTACTGTGAAATTTACAGCGAGCGTTAACCATCTGAGCTACCACGGCTCATTAATAATTACTAAGAATTATAACATAACATTTTCATTCATTTATAATTTAATTTGTTTAATAAATATACTAAATTATAAACGGTGTAAATCGTTTTTAAGCAATAAGCATCGATATATCGCTTATGTTTTCGATATATAAAACTCCGATATTGATATATTTATAATTATCGATATATTGAAAATCCGATATTTTAAAAATATCAACAGTCCTAGTTTGAACTGATCAGTTGGAATGATCAGTTGAACTGATCGTGTGTGTCGAAATTGTTTTGGATTAAATCCGTTTGAAATGATCAGTTGAACTGATGTCAGTTTAACTGACCGTGTGTGGGGACCATTAGCGTTACTTAATTGACATTATATAACGCTAAGATTATAATGATATCCGCATTGCCTAGTGGTCACGAATACCTGGCTGCTGGTCCTGGGGTCGTATACAAGACGGGCTCTGCACAATGAATTGAGAAGAATGATTTGTAGAAATAACTCTTACTCTGCACTAGCAGATGTGTTGGCTTCTGATATAATTTTTTGTTTAAATTTAAAACTGACATTTTAAAAATATCTATTACCCTTGGACACTGTATTATTTTATTAAAAAATGTATTTGTAAATTAAATTGTAAAACGGCTTTAGAAAAATACCCAACGTAATTTTTTTGCTGATTCTTTTTTGATATCTTGTTTTTACAAACCGGTATGCAAAAGATCTTTGAACAAACCTAAATGTAATAAAATGTTTTGTCTTGGTTTGGGCCTTGACAAAGCTACACCATTACGATGGATTCTGATGAAGCTGCGCTGCTTCTCGCATAATTGATTTAAAAAATACGAAAGTATCAATCAAAGAGCATCATTCTTTATGCTTAGGTATATTACGAAAAGACTGGGATTTTTTTACCATTTTGGAAATAAATACACGACATTTCAAGACCTTTTATGACAACATGAATAACGCAGTAAGTCACTTCAGCTTAGGTGTCTTAACCTGCTGGGCTGTCGGTTACTCTGATTCTATAGCGAAAGAAACCCCGAGCATTGGCCTCTCCATAGCTCGCTAATACCTAAATGGATTGGATAAGAAAATATTTAGCTACTAAATTCGTAATCGAGGATGAATGTAGATGTCTATGGGCCACAGCAACCACTTATCATCAGGTGGACTGTGTGCTCCTTTGTCACTCATATCCTATATAAAAATGAAGTCGGCCAGCTGCTGGCTCCTTGGGTTCCGTTGCCCCATCCCGAATTTCCACATCTTCAGATTTGCTTTGGAATCTCCCATTAACACCGTTTAGTGGGTTTTGGAGGAATGCATGGCTTTAGAGATATAGTCATATATTTCCTACACCTCCAGATCGGGATGGGTCGAGGTTGGTGCGTAAACCTGTATAACCTTCAACGAATACCTACCATTTAATGATTCTGAGTTTAAGCTAGGCAACCCTCGACGACACAGTTTCAAAATCATTAACGAGATACTTGTGGACGATAAATTCGACACTCCTAGGGATAGATGGTTCCCCAACTGGTGATAGAACAAGTTGCCAGATTCGAGGATTAACGTGTCCTCTCCTTCTCTTTGGACCTTAGATAATCCTGTAATATCTCAGTGCAACTTATCTCTTCTTCCAGCCCCGGTATCTTCTCGTTAGGCCGCAGGGTGCATGTGTTGTATGTTGCCAGGTCGAGCCGTCGTGGCAATCGAAATTCCACCGGACATTCTTAACACCCCTGCCCTGCCGTTACTATGGTAGCCACTGTAGCCAGGAAATAACGGGGCTGTCGGGGACTGGCAGCAGTTTCTTTGTTGTAGCTCATGGGCGGATGTTTGCCATAGTTGCTACGCTTGGCAAGCGGGTTGGCAACCGGAGTTTTTATTATAATTTTGCTGTTATCAGGACGATGCTGTTAACGTTCCCTCTTGCGACACCCACAGGACGATATGGGGTAGTGGATATTCTTACGTCATCACACTGTGTATGCGCCTTTGTAAACATGCAAAATCGGTGTAGACCCAACAAGATCCTGAATCATCGGTAATGAACAGTGGACACCTAAGGCGTATTATTCATGTATGTGAGCATTGAGGAAATATGCCGTAAAATCGAGAAATGAATTGCTAAGGCTACAACAATTGTAGAATGAATCCTAGAATTTGTAAAAGAATATATAAAAAGTTACAGCCCTTAGTGTGACCCCTCAGTTCACAGTCTATCAGCCAGATCTTGGAAAGTATCTTAAGAATAAAGTTAATGCGATGACAGATATTTAGTAAAGAATTTGTAAAGCTTATTTTTACTAAATAACAAGCCACAGTGTTACAAATATCTAAACTGTGGTCCCTCAATGTGTGGAACATTGCTTTTTTACAATTTACTAAATGATTGACGAAAGGAATGTAATCAGGTGTAGGGTTCTTACCTATTAGTAAAAGGTTAATAGAAAACTTTTACCGTATATTGATAACCTATTAACTAAGATTATTATAAACATTCTATTAATTCTATGGAACTACACCAGTTAGTGTAACCACACAATGAAGATTTTTTTTTATATTAGATTTAGATAAACGGGCTTATTTATCAACAGTTTAATATACATCCCAAGGTATAGTTTCTAATAAGTCTGAATATGTATATGTAAGTGTTAAGTTTTAATAAGTCAATAAAACGTATGCTTATAAAGCATGCTTTAGAAACGGAAATATAAAAAATCTACGTATCTGCTATCGTGACCCCATAGTGCACACGTAACTACATATTATAGCAAGCAGTTTCCGATCCAACACTTAAAAGTAACAAAATATTAACCTACCTACAAAAAATATAAACTAAACTTTGACATTATATTCAAGCCTACTTTTATTACACTAATTCCTACTAATTACGGGGTAAAAGCGAACTGTCGTGCAGATACGATCGTCCCATAAAATAGGGTGCGTTAGGGTAAGATCGGTGATGGGGCAAGACCGTAGGATTCAAATTCCCGGCGAATTATGCTATATTTTGAAATGCTAACAATATGCTACACGACGCCATTTTATCCTGCCCCGACCCTCAGTTCGTGCCAGTCGCTCCGGCAAGTGGGACCTGTGCTGCGCGGCATTTTATAAAACAATGTAATTTTTGTCCATCCGATCTTTCCCTATCACTTTTATTTACGATTTTTAGCGAGAATATGGCTTCTTTTGTTATTATTTTGTGTGGATACTAAGTTTTATGAAATTACCACCGGACCAGCTTTATCTAGCTATAAAGCTGGTCCATGCAGGGCTAAGATCACTGTAGGCCGAGATCCGATGTTTCCCCGCGTGAGTGAAGATCAGATGAATATTATCCGATCTTTGCTCGTTACAAATATGGCAGTGGTTGTTAGACATCTACATCTATCCTCTATTACAAATCAAAATGTAATTTATAATTATTATTCAAAAAATAATTTATAATACCCACTAAAAACAAGTATCCTTCCATTTGTAACTTATGTTTGATGTCAAACTTAATTAGGTCTAAACAAGTAAAAAAAGCATAAAAAATAACATTACTTTTACACATGGCGGATGGCACAATAGGCGTGTCATTTTTGTCTGTGGCGCTTAACACGCCCGGCGTGTCATGAAATATTTGATCGCCGCCACAGCTAAAAGTTGTCGAAAATTGGTGTCGCAACGAATCGGTTAATATCTTCTTTGGCTGATATTTTAACTTATTTTCAAATAACAAAAAAAAAAACAGTTGTTGAATTACAAATTTGTCCCAAACCTAAAGTAGGAATACAATAGCATATTGTAGAACAAAACTACCTACGTTTAGATAAATACATAGCTAGCCTTGTTCCCCACTGAGTATTACAGTAACTGCCTATTATGTCACAAGTATGATTCATATGGGTTCGGTTAGGTCTGTATCCCCAGTCGGAGTTGATGTTTGATTAGTGCAAAATTTCAAATTGAGTGTTTTTGGTCAAAACGTAATTTGTGCATATCATTCGATATAGGAAACTTTCTCAGTTAATACCTTCTTAGATCATAACTATTTGTTTTTAGAATATTAAGAAATAAAACACAATGTTTGTAATTTTTTTATTTGTTACAAACGGTCTTATCGCTTGCCTCCAACACGCGGTGCTGATTTTTGACTCACTTTTGCAGCTTTAGCTTTAGGCGCAGCCTTTGCTTTTGGTGGAGCGGCAGGGGCCTTCTTAGCTGCTTTTGTGGATTTTTTCTGTTCTTTTGCAGCTCTGTAAGATGTTTAAATTTTAATTATGTTTTTGAGTTCTTAACACATTATACAGTTTAAGATATTTAAATATTAAGCAAAATTAAAAAAAGAAAGTACATATTTTTAATCTGTATGTACACTTAAGCTTTCAATTCAGTTCAGTCATTTGACAACAAGTTAGCAGATTACTACTGAAGAGGCAATAGGCTATTTTACGCTGGTATTTGAGAGCGTGGTCCTTCCCCGGACGAGCAGACCCATTCGTGTTACAACTAGACTATTAATATAGCTGCATGACTATATTAATAGTATAGTTGCATAGCATAGCTTTACCACGTAAAAGTGTCAATAGTCTGCAGTAGTCACTTCCCAACATAATGTGTTTTTTACAATCACTAACATACTTTATTAAATGTACTGTCGTCATACTTTCTTTAAAGATCATGCAAATGGTTATAAAAAAATTGAATTTACATACTTAATTGCTTGTTCTCTTTGAGCTTTTCTTACTTCGGGCTTCATATTACGCTTAGCCATGATGTCACTGAGGGAGGCGCCTACAATGGCACGCTGGAACTTTTGTGTCCTCCTAGTGCGCTTCTTAGCTTGCTCTTCCTCCTGACCTTTCTTGAATTTACGTCTAAAAATAGAGAATAATTAATTGTAATTTAACATCAGACATTATGTTTAAGTATAGTCTATGGCAGTAAAGATAAGTTATTTTTTGTTTGCAGGATTTAGTGCATATTTACAGAAATTAGTTTGCATACACAAGGGTATGCAAAAATAACAACACAACAGAACAGAACACTGTTGATGTGTTTCAGAAATACTACCATAGATAATATACTATATAGGGAATAGATGAGCCACTCTTGACAAATTATTAGGTGTCGAAAAGAGGGAAGTCTCTTGAGCGCTCTTATAGATGGCGTTGGGATTATAAATTACTGAAAATTACACTAGAGGGCGCTATGAACTAGGTTCAGTATTATTTCGTACATATTTCAATAAAATTAAAAGTAACTGTATATGATTACTAACTAATTTGTTTTAGATGAGCATTGTTTAAATTTATTCGTTTATTCTTATAGAATTATTCTATATATATACCGCTGTATTTCAGAACTTCGATAGCATGATTTAGGCTTCAGTATAAATAATGAATACCAGCAGTGGCGCCATCTTATAATAAAATGTGTAAAAATATTGGGGAAAATAGTACTTTGGCTGACTATGAGATGGCGCTAGTATCAACGTAAAAGCAAGCTACTGAGGACTTTCATACCCCTGAATACTACTGTCTATACGCCATCAACGTCGTGCAGTCCGCGCCCACGGGTTACAGGGTGGAGAGAGACGAGGTAGCACGCAGCTAGAGCACGAGAACGAGACCACGCCTACGGCCGCACACGTAGGGATTTGGGATCGAGATATCTTGAGATTAATATGGATATATTTAGATTTATTACGTAGTATTTAGTGATGTAGTGATGATTTTCGCACATTATGTGCCTGGTGTACATGTTTCATCCAAAAAAATTACTGGCCTTTCATCGGCTCGATAATATTTTTTTTACATTGTAATACTGGGACACTACGTCGTATCACTCCTAAAATGAGACTATCCACTTCAATTCGCTTTTTGGGAAATAAATTTTTTCTGGAAGATTTGAACTTTGAAAGTGTAGAGTGTCATCCATTGTATTTCTTTCACTGACAATTCTTATTGTTCTTTCCGAGAGCCCTGTTGCTACAGATACGGTTTTTGCCAAATTAATATTCTGGTATTCTTGCAATGATTTATCTTTTTTACGCTCTTTAAAATACATGTATACGTTATACACAATATCTTTTGATTGTCGTCCAGTCGGTTTGCTCATCTTCGGATCTTAATCTGGTGTGCGTCCAACGAAATGCGACCGTGGCAAGCGACTAGAGATGAATAACTCAAGAGAGATAGATACAAAAGATATGAATCAATCCCTTTCCATCAATCACTCTTTATATCCATCCGCATCCGAATGTATCAGTGTATCTTTACAACTCATTCACTCACAGCGTCTTTTAACTTTATCTATCTAACATCCGTGTCGCAAGTCGCGCACGCTACTTTTTATTATACCTCGGCCGGCTCGGCTCGGACGGACGGCCGGCCACTTCAAAGCCAATTTAAGGAAAGTCTCCTTCGCACCTCACTATTTAGATAATTCTGTCGCACTTTCGCCAGACGGAGAGAGTGAGGTGTTTGACCATTATAAACTGTCATAAGCCGGCACAAAAAGGTAAATTGATAACTCTACATATTACTGATGTGTAGGGCTTAAAGTCGTTAAGCGATACGTGAACATTTAAGTATTATACCGGTTTGAACTGTACCTACGTGTACTTTTCCTATAAAATTTTTAGTAAACAATGCAAACTAATTTCGGTCATAAAACCATCGTTTTAAGATAGTTTTATGGCCGAAATTAGTAGTCGTTCATATCCATAAAAAAGTAGAAAAAAGATTTGCTATTTACAAAATTAAACAAAAATATCAGCTTTCTTCATTTCATTAGTTCAACCTAGACTTCGGTTCGGGAGCGAGAGTAATATTGTTTTCGTTAATTGCATCGATTAGAAAAAGATTTGAAGTAATTTTGTACACTTAGTGACTGTTTAATTTAAATGTAGGTAAATAAGATAAATGTAAATAATTTTAAGTAGTTATTAAAAATGTTTGCTAATTTTTCGAATAAGTGCCTATTTATCAATTATAACAAATAGATCTAGCTCTATAGGTACTTATCTATCACTCTTACTGATAGAATTGAGTTGTTCGAAGCGGGCTACGCTGAGTGAGCAGCGCAATGTAATGCGATGCGTGTCTTGAGCATGAGCTGTAGCTACTGATAAATAAAAATATAAAAGAGTGATACATATCCCAGTGATCAAAAGATACATATCAATCTTTTCTTTTAAGTGATACACATGACCCATGTCTACAAGCGACCACTAGCGACTGGCGCTAGGCTTGGACAAAAAATATCGATATATAGAACTTTTTAATAAAAATATCGATATAACGATATTTATTTTAGAGTATCGAATTCGTATCAATTTCGATATATTTTAAAATGTATCGTTTTATTCGTCGTCCAACCGTCAGTAAATAAAATTTTGAACCTTATCTTTACATCATGCAAATGATATTTATCACGCGATATTTTTTTTTATAGGATAAGGGTGACAAACGAGCATACAGTCCACCTGATGGTAGGTGGTTGCTGCGGCCCATAGACATCTACATCTATCCTCTGTTACAAATCAAAATGTAGATGCGTGAGGACTAAGATGGAATGACTCATTTTCAGTAAAAAGGGCCTCCGGCCACCTGCACTTACCAAGCGAAACGCAGAGGTAAACCTCTACTTCACGCTGGTTTTCTGTGAGGTCGTGGTACTACCCCGGTTCGAACCGGCCCATTGGTGCGACAGCAAAAGCTGCCGCGTGGCTCTACCACTATTAAAATGCTGTTCGATACTGTTTAAAAATATAGTTTCGATATATATATCGATTTTTTTTCCTTGCCCATCCCTAACTGTTACTCCGGAGCACGCGGCGTGCTCGCGCGCCCTCCCGCCAACCCCTGTAACCCCGTGAGCGCGGACTGCACGTTACAGCAGAATAAAGTTTATATGCATCTTAAAAACGCAAAAAGAATAAACGCAAAAGTTTATAAAATAGAGCCAAAATTCTTTGTGATTTACCTGAAAATGTGTACAAAAATAAGCCTTTCTATCGAAAAACCAAGTGCAATAATAAATTATACAGGTTGGCCTATCTGTTGGTCCTTTTTTCAATTGATGATTTTAGTACTTCACCTTATCTGTTCTAAAAAATTATTTGACATTGGTGGCTGTTAGTGAAAGTGTTTATAATGAACCAAGCACATCAACCAGGCATCGTTCACAGGAACTAAACACTTCACGAACCAAATTACGACGCATTTTGCATGTTGATCTTCATTTGCATCCATACAAAATTCAACTAACTCAACAATTGAAGCCACCAGACCATTCAAAACGTAGTTTTGTTTATTGGATGCTTGAACGAAATGGTTTTTCATCAAAAATCATCTTTCAAATTTGGGGAGCGGAGGAGAATCCTCAGCTATTCACGAAATAGAACATCATCCTCCAAAGGTCACTGTTTGATTTGGTTTATGGGCTGCTGGCCATAAACCACATCAAACAGTGACATCATTGGGCCGTTTTTCTTTGAAAACGAACATGAAAATGCCCTTACATTGAATGGGGAATGTCATCGCAAGATGTTAACTAGTTTTTTTTGGCCCAAATTGAATGAATTGGGTGTCGACGACCTCTGGTTTCAACAAGATAGAGCGACTTAGCACACAAGTCGTGCAACACTATATTTATTGTCAACAAGATTAACTGATCGCATAATTTAAAGAAATTCTGAAGTTTCTTGGCCACCAAGAAGCCTGGATTTACATCACTTGATTATTTTTTGCGGGATTATTTGAGAGGTAAGGTGTATGTTAATCATCCACAAGCAATTAAACAACTTAAAAACTGAAATCGAGGTCATTCATCCAATTTTATTGGAAAAAGTTATCAGAAACTTTTATGTTCGGATGATGCAGGCCTGTAGACGAAGCCGTGGTGGGCATATGAACATTATTGTTTTTCATGCATAAATAATATCTCAAAATATGTATTTTCTCTACAAATTATAGAAGGACTAATAGATGGTCTAGCCTTTATATAACTAATAATAAATTGCTCTCAAATGTCACAAATGAAAACAATTTTCTGGTGCGTGACTAGAATCAACCAAGATATGTTACGGAATTTATTATTTAGTTTGGATCCAATTCTGGTTCAAAATTATCTAAGACTGTAGGAATTACAAACGATAAATTACGTCGTTATTTATTGCTATATAAAACAGCGACATTAAATGTGCAAATCATAACAGATCTCATCTTTTTGTCTTAAGACATTATTCATTTGTTCGGCATTTACATAATATGTATCACAAAAGATGATTATACACATGGACAATGGACATAGCAGTGATCAATAATCATACATACAATAAAATTTAATTTTGGTTTACTAATTTAGTTGCCTCTAAAAATAAATTTCATTGATTAACATAAATTTTGACATCTGTGGATAATGCAAGTATCATTATTTTTGTAAAACATATATAATATACGTCTGAGACTTGGGTATGAAATCCTTTAAATTTACGACATATTCAGTGTATAATCTCAACAAACTCTTATTAAATCTCACACAAAGAGTTAATTTAAGTCAGAAGATAATATTATGAAGTTGAAAAAGATGTTGAGGGCACAAAGCAGGCAAAAGATAAACAGAAATTTTCTTTTGCATTGATGCACATCTGGTAGAGTTAGTTACATATGCCTACTGGGACCTTACATGGCATCAAGAAGTCACCTACCATTCAGCACCACCTGCTAAGCAAATACCAGCATGTCTTTAAAGACATGACTCAATTCACTTATGTGACTTAAGAATATTTAACATAGTATAAAACCCAGGGTCGAATTGATAAGACAGCGCAGTAGTTAGTTAAGTTAGTATGTAAGTCTAGTATTCCTGTGAACTCACTTTTTGACAGTAGTTAACTTGTAAGTTAGAAAATAAAAGTAATATAGGAAAAAGTATTTGTCTTCTTCCAATACAACCCTCCCTAAGCTGCTGCGAACGTAAGTAGTTGTAGGTCTGATGATACTACTACAAATTAACATATTACTAGACTAGCCTGAAATTCAGCTATATAATATAATAAAGAAAATAATACCTGTAAAGAACAGTCCATGTAACTTTTCGAGGATTTCTCCTCATAAGATGAGCTGCTTCACATTTTGAGTTAAGAAATGTGAAAGTCTGAAACAAAATAAAATGCTTATACAATTAGCTATAATGAAGAAATAATATTTTAAATATACCCAATATTTAATGCTTAAAGTAGGTATCCAGGTGGGTTTTTTTAAAAATTTATATGCCAGTATTCTAAAAATTACAAGCTATATCAAGAAAACAATCCTTTTCTTTTAACTTTTAAAAATACTTTTATTAATACTTATCAAGTAAAAAATCTTTTGGCTTAGTTATCATAATAAAATAATAATCATGTCCACTCACTAGATGGAGTGACAACCTGGTAAAACATGAATGCAGATTGCTTTCAGCAGTGGAATTGTTAAGGGTTGTAATGATGATAAATCATGTTGAGCTTATATGAAATTTTTGTTGTGACAGTACACATTTTCTAACCATATAAATGTAAATTTTACAAGAAAAACACAAAAATTATTTTTCACTTCATTCTGGATTTTATGCTATGCATGTTTTTCTCTATCCATTGAACACATTGTAGGCTTCATTTCATTGACTTTACTCTCATGGAGTTAAGATGGAACTCTCAGGTCAAGCATACTGTTTTAACTACAGTCTGACCAGATCTGATGATAATTACTTCTTAAACTCCAAACCTGAAATCTCAAATGTGACTAGTCACTGGTGCCATAACAGGTCTCGGTTTAATTAACAAGCATCTCTGCTTTAGGTGTTATGGACAGCCTTTTACGCAGAGCCTGCATAGGGCATGAAGAAACAGAGGCCACATTTTACTTGATAGTTCAGTGAGTGCAAGTTTCAGAACTAAATAGCTTTGATAGCCGAATTAGCTCCACAAGATCATTGGTAATGTAAAGAACTTGCAAAGATTCCTCAAGAACCTTGGGTGGCTCTAATAATATTTTATTTCTTTCCACCCATACTCAAAAACCACTTGAACTTGGTGTTGCAGAGCCCAGCTAAGTCCTGTTATTAGCACCACTAGATCATTTACTCTTCTTTCAGTTCTTGAATTAGATAGAATTGTTAAAATGCAAGACTTGTAGAATTATTAACAGAGGATTCTTTCCAATGATGCAATGATAAATGTTTCTTCCTTCTTCATGTTTTCTTCATAATCTTCATGTTTTGCTATGAAAGCTTCAGATTCTAGCAATGAGGTTCATCAACCTTGCCAAATTGATTAAAAACCAAAATAAAAATGAATTTGGTATATTCACAAGTGTGGTCAGGGGGGACAGCTGCCTGTATTGATTATACAGGGTTATTTTCAAAGAGTAGCCAAAAACTTAAGTTCAAATATATAAATAATGATATACCATTATCACAGTTTTGAAGATAAGAGTAAATAAGGCTTCTACTTTTATTTGAAACTATCCCAAATTGAATGTGATTTATGGGCAACAACTATGCATACATGCTCTCTTCTGTTAGTAATTCAATTCACGTTTTTCCCAACCAATCGAACCTTATAAATATGTGCATGTATAGTAAAATAGATATTTATGAATGATAATCAGTTAAAATAATGCATTACCACACATTTTGAATTTAAAAGATAAAAAGGACACAATGTTTGAGATTTATGTAATAAATTTTTCATGACCTTTTGCCTTTAAATAAGTAATATAAGTTATTCTGAATACATTCTCTGCAAATTTGGCCAGTTATTGCAAAATAATTCAGTATACCCCAGATAGAACTTAGGCTTTCCAAAGATGGTTGTTTATCCATTTACTTTATGCGAGGCATAAAATTCTCAGACTGACATACGGGTAGTAGCATCAAAGGTTTTATTTATTACTTTTCATTTGTACTTTATTCCTATGATAATCAATACGCCTGCTGAGTGTACGACTAAGGTAAATCTTTCCTACAAAGCGAGAGGCCCATGTTCAAAATTTAACCTTCACAGGCTGTTAAAGAAAAATAATTCCTATTGCCATAATATACACAATGTAAGTAAAAACTTAAGTTTTCATGTTATAACTTAAATCAGAGTATGTTTTATAATTACTATAACTATGGAAGAGTTTTTGTAAAATTACAAAATATAAGTAATACACATGATGTAATTATTAATCTACATTGAGCGTAACAACACAGCCTCAATACATTTTACTGCGATTGCATTCTGAGGATCTTTGGACTTGAGGACCTTTAATATTGCAATTGCATAAAAATAATTTAACATTACAGAAATGTACGTGTACTTTTAAGAAGCTACATATCTACATAGGTATATTTTTAATGTGGAAAGAGGTACACAATTTATGCAATTATTTACCTTGCCGTCCACCTTAACCATGGTTTTGCCATGGCCAGGGTAAATCTTGTAACCACTGTAGGCGCAAAGTCCGATCCTGAAAATAAAGCACACATAATGAAAAGTTATCACTTCACTTATTTATGTGATTATAAGCACAGTGTAATATGTTTGGATTAATTTGATTTATTATAATATAAAATTTTCACAGAAACGTACTTCATTTTGACTTGTGTCAAGATTCAAAAGAGCAATAGATAGTGATGGGACTAGGCATGTGAAAAATAGGTGATTTTTCATATTAATCGATTATTTTTTCTTATAATCGATTTTGATGCGTCGATTTTTTGATAATAAAAATCGATTTTTAATAAATCGATTATGTAAATGACGCGTTTTAATCGATTTTTGCAATCAGCGTAATCTGTGCGATCGATGTAAAAACGTGAAGTAAGTTAAATAACATAAATAAGTCGATCAAAAGAACAGCGTCATCTTTGTGACAGATGAAAAACGCGAAGTAAGTTCACTAACATGAACAAATCGATCAAAAGAAGGCGCCACCTGTATGTATCTCTATGCATGGAAAACAGTTTCGCCTTTCATATGTTTTCAACAATTTTCTATCTCCGCTAGGGGTAAAAGTATTCTGTGGTTTTCTTTCTTTTTTTGGAGAGTGTAAATAATTGTTAAACAATAAAAATGTCTTGTAATACACCTAAAAGTGACTGACGGAAGTATTTTATAATAAAAAAATAATAGCAGCCAACACGTCAATAGCCATAAATATTGAGTTGGACCTATATATTGCAGCACCACTATCAAATCTCAAAGCAGATGCCCCAATATATGGAGAAGCTCTGAAGGAACTTTCCCTAATCTAACCGAATTGGCTCTCAAACACCTCTCGATGATGTCCAGTTCTGCGCCAGCCGAAAGATTGTTTTCGAAAGCGGAAAATATTGTCAGGAAAAAACGAAACCGTATTTTAAGAAAGAGACGAAGAAGAATTTGGTAAAATTATTGTTTTTAAACTGTTTACCTGAAAATTCATTGCAATCATTTTACAAATTTTTTTTTGTTTACACAAGTTTAAAATAAGATTTGTGTTGTATTTTAGTTTTGAGACTAAAAGGAATGTCATTTAATTATTTATAATTATATTTTTATTTTATTTTCATTCTAGTCCAATCTAAATGATATTGAACATTAGTGGCCATAATAATTTATTGTTTTTTTGTTTAAACTTAAAGTTTAAAAAAAATATTTATTTTGTATTTTAGTTTTGAGACCAAAAGGTTGTCGTTTGATTATTTAAACTTATTGTTTTATTTTATTTTCATTCTAATCTAATGTAACTGGTACTGAACATTTGTAGCAATAATGATATTTAGATATTTTGTTTGTTCAAACTTACTTTAAAAAAACTATCGTTTACTAAACTTATCGTTTCTTTTTATTTTGGTTTGTAGTGTTATACTACTTACGTATCATTTTACATTATTTTAAATTCATTTTTCCATTCTGTTTCGATTTTCTGCATTCACCTCAAAACTGGATATTTTACATCACCTTTATTTCCATAGGATCCTGTAACGATTTTAAACCATAAGAACACAATAACAAATCATTTCTACGTCGTATTTTCACATTATCAGCACTTTTAAATTGGTGTCAATGGAGTCTACCTTTTTTTCGATCTTTTAGCTAGTTTTCCGTAACTCTACAATCTTGGACTTTGTGTGGGCAGTTGCGCTACCTTTTTTCCTATATCAATAATATCTCATTTTCCACTTAAATCTTACCGTTTTCTTATTATAAACCAAAAACAAAAATTTGACATATTTTGTCTTTCTTATTTATATCGTTTCCATGGTAATTATATTCAAATTTGCTACCGATCTGTTATTCCTATTTCGATAAATTCCACATAAATCCTCTTTTCTCTTGACCATTTACAAAAAATTTGCGTATAATTTAAATAATTTTTCCGTTCTCTCTAGAAAGGTATAAAAGCCGAACAATCGGTGAAGAAAGGCAGTCTCGCTTCAGTTCGCGAATTAGAAGTATCTCCTAAAGGCCTTATCCCGGGGCCGCACTGCCCCGGGATCCTGCAAGCCTCCATTTACACGTGAAGTCTTCGGCGAAGCCTTCTTCAAACTCGGGCCGCGCCACTCCGAAATCCTACAAGCCTCCATCTACCTCGGAAGTCGCTTCGAGTCTACTACAAGCGCGGGGGCCACACTACTCCGGGCACTACTACTACTTACTCCAGGCGCCGAGTGCACCTACCGCCGGCGCTACCTTTGGGCGCTGCAACTGCTAGCTCTAAGCGTTGCGCGCCCCTTCTCCAGGCGCTACGTGCGCCGGCTCCGGACGCTGCGTGTACTGGCTCCAGGCACTGCGCGCCGTCGCTGCTAAGAAACCTACTTCTACAAACGCAACGTGTGTCGCTTCGACTTTTAGGCCCCACTTCAACGCTATATTCCCCTATTCTCTCACCTTTATTTTTTTTTATAATCTAATTGTATTCTCACTTCATCCATCATCATCCTCACATCATTTTTTTTATAAAATTGTAAATACCTTTTATAAATTTAAATATATTGTTTTCTGGCTCTACCTTTGTTGTTTTGTTGTACTTAGGTTAGGTTCTATTTTTTTTTTTTTGTCGCTTCACGACATTTGGCGCCCAACGTGAAAGTCCTCTTTCTCTCTTAATTCTTCACCTTTACTGCGCCTTGTCCATTCCCTTTTGATTTAATTGCTCTTCCTTTCGTTCTTAACTTATTATTCATCATTCATTTATTCATCCTTTTCATACCTTCCAAATTCTAAAACAACACTTCATCTAGTGTTTCAACTTATCTGGATTATATTTAGACCTACATTTCACACAACACTTACATTCATCACTTTAATATTTTTATTCTAGAACAAAACTTCATCTAGTTTTTCAACTTATCTAGATTATATTTAGACCTACATTTAACACCTTACTTACATCCATCACTTTAATATTTTTATTCTAGATAACTTAAAGAGGTATAATTTTTAATTAAATTTTTATTTCTTAAACTTAACTTTACACATAATTATAACAATGAAAAGGGTTATTAAGTACGAATTTCTTAACAAGGCCGAACTCGAATACGAAGTGAAGATTAGATGTGAGGAACCAGCTAATACTGTTTTACTTCTAAAAAAACAGGTTTTGCGTTTAGTTGCGAATTCTCACCCTGAAGATATTCTGACTTCTACAATTCCGATTGAGGATGACTTGTCTCAAATTGATTCTACCTTGACCTACTTGGACTGTAAAATTAAAAAATTTTTACAAGGCGAAACCAAATACTTGCGACTAATAGAAACTTTTATTAATCATATCTTTTACAGATTGGAACGAATAGATACTGACTTATATCCAGACTTTAAAGCTATTTTCGATACTTTGAAGATGAAATATGACGATATTACTAAACAATTTGAATCCTTGACTCCAGCTCCAACTGAAAATGACCCTCCTGTTGACCCGACTGTCACGGTTGACCCGACTGTCACGGAACTCCCTCTTGTTTCTCAAAATTCTATTCAGGTCCATACCCCGTATCCTCCACCACCACCTCAATCTTTTTCTCCAACCAACGTCTTCAAAGATCTGAAAAGACACACCTTCAATGGTAAAAGCTGTCCAAGATCCTTTCTTCAAAAACTGGAAGAATACTGTATAGCTCGTGGCTTGTCCAAAGACTTGTTGATTTCACAAGCGTTTGAAATTTTCACTGACAATGCTCTTCATTGGTTCAGATTTAAATATAATCAGAATCCAAACTTAACGTGGAACGAACTTTGTTCGTTATTAATCAAAGACTTTGGTGGTTTTGATTATGATCACAAACTTTTAGAAGCGATTAGGAATCGAACTCAAGGTCGAGATGAACCTATTGTCATCTATATTTCCATCATGTCTGGAATGTTTTCTCGTCTTTCGAAGAAACTTTCTGAAACAGAACAATTGGAGATTATTTTAAGGAATATTCGCCCATGTTATTCAGTCTTCGTAGCTCTAAAAGACATTGACTCTATCGACTCTCTACTGGCTACTTGCCAAAACTATGAAAAATTTCTAGACAGAGACAAACAATTTAAAGAACCAAATGTACAACAAAGTCCTCTTATTTCTGAATTCAACTACAAGCATTCCACTTCAAGTTCAGTTGATTCTCCAAATTCTTCTAATAACTCACGACCCTCTCCTCCCCTCATGAATAAATTCACTCCATCCTACAAATACCCTTCTAGACAAGTTAATAGTCTCTCTCAAACTAAAGCTCCTCAACAAACCTCCTTTTGTGTTCGCTGTCGTAAACAAGGACATTCTTTGAACACTTGTACTCAACCACGATTCGTGATTTGTTTCAAATGTGGTCTTAAGGGTTTTAAAACTGCAGATTGCCCTACTTGTTCTCCCAAACCTAATACTAGTTCAAAAAACTAACTACTGACTTGAAAAGTAACTTAAACTTTGATAACGACGATTGGACTAATTGGATTAAAACAATTCAAAACTTCTTTTCTTGTTACAGAATCTCTTCTACACTCTACTCCAAGGAACAAGATCTTAATCGTCCATTCGTTAATGTCAAAATTTATAACTTAACTTTATCTGGTTTACTAGATTCTGGCAGTTCAGTAACTATTCTGGGTAATAATTCTCATTTGGAAATTCTTAAACTGGGCTGCAAACTTTTCAAGTCAGATCTTATTATTGTCTCTACTGCTAATAATCAAAAAGTTAATTCCTTGGGTTATTTTGACTTACCTATTCATTTTAATAATCAAACTCATTTAATTAAAGCTTACGTTTTCCCTGAAATTTTTCCTTCGCTAATATTAGGTATTGACTTTTGGAGAAAATTTAATCTTTTACCTAGTGTTTTATCTCCTCTTAACTTTACAGAATCTAAATGTTCTGCTATCGAAACTAAAGATACTAAAGTTTTACCTTATGAGCATTTAACTCCTAATCAAAAGAACATCGCTAATGACATCATCCAACGTTTCAAGACAATTTCTTTTGAAGAAAAAGGTGTCCTGGGATGCACACACTTAATCACCCACAAGATTGACACTGGTGATTCTCTTCCAATCAAACAAAGATGTTACAGACTGTCTCCTGAAAAACAAAAGGCGTTAATTAATGAAGTTGACAAGATGCTGCGAT